TGGAAGAGCAAAACAACTTGAGAGGCTGCGGCAGGGAGATGGCAGGTTCAAAGCAACTTAGTGAGGCTGTAAGCAACCTAGTGAGACCGAGACTCAAAATTTAAAAAAATAAAATAAAAAGGGCTGGGGTGAGGAAAACCGCCAGAGCCTCACCAGGCCAGGGCAAAGCCAGACACAGGACAAAGCAGGTACCCAGGTCCTGGGCCAATGATTCTTAACAGATCCTAAAATATGGTGCCATTTTTCGTGTCCATAGATATATTTCTTTTCTTTTACCTAACATGCTTGAAATTTAAAAAGCTTTTAGGAAGACTAGCAGAATATTGTTTTAAAATTGGAAAACAATGGCTTTACTGATCTTACATTTAATAATGAGAGGAAGGCACGTTTTTTACTTCAAGGAAAAGTTGAATTCTATTAGGCGACTCCTATCTGGTGACAGTTCAACGCTGGCCCATCATGGGTTTTTTTTCCATTTTGTCCCTGAGTGGAAAGAGCTTCCAGAATAAAAATGACACTGAATCACTGGAAAAATTTACCCCAAATCACATAGTTCTCATCTTTGTTATAATTTTTTTTAGAGAGAGAGAGAGAGAGAGAATTTTTTTAATATTTAATTTTTAGTTTTCAGTGGACACAACATCTTAATTTTTATGTGGTGCTGAGGATTGATCCCAGTGCCCCGTGCATGCCAGGCGAGCACGTTACCRCTTGAGCCACATCCCCAGCCCTAGTTCTCATCTTATTAGCACTTTTTAAACAAGCTGAGTTTTTTGCTATTGATGCTACTGATATGTCTATGAATAGTAATGGCAGGAAATACGTGCAGAATATTTTATTTTAAGTAAGAATGACTAGTTTCCAKTATTCAAATTTTAGAAAGCAAAAATTAGATGTCGTGTTCACCACTRTATTGTGATGTGTGGTCCATGGTCCCCAAGTCTTCCCACTTTTCCTCCCAGCCCTTATGATGGCCCAGCATCACCTGCTCAAAAGGACTTCCTGGTGCTTGGGGCACTGTGAGGTCAGCTGCCTGTCGCAATCTCTCTCTAAAGAAAGGTCATCCAAAATCTCCTCCGACTCTGCCCAGACACCGTTCAGTGTTTCTGATATACAGAAAACTGCAAATGTGTCAGCCTTCATTGTTCTTCATCAGAATGAGCTCTCGAGCTCTCCTTCAGATTTCTAATTATATTGTCTAATAAAACTAAGCAGTCAATGCCATTTGCATATTATATGAAGAAGTGTCAGACAACAAACTCATAGCAGTCAATTAACATAAAGGCTAATTATATATCTCATCAGCTTACAAGAGTTTCTGAATTCATGCTTCTATTGTAGCCTAAAGCAAGGGCTTGGAATTTTCACTTCTAAATATTGACTTTTAACTAATATCAGGAATGATTCCATTTTTTATGGATGAAAAGTTAGTGATTAAACTAGATGCGATATTTGCTATAATGCAATTAAAATTTCTACATTAACTAACCCTGTAGAAAAGAAATCTTTGCAACAATGTGAAATTAATTATCAGTGCCTAAACAGGTTAAGTGCTGGTTTCGTATCTGAAGGCAACTCCAAAAGAATGATCAAGATGAGTGGAATTTGTTGGTGACTGTCAGACTGTGATGGCAGAGAGACACCCCACACAACGATTTTCAGGTCTAATTGTGCACTGTGACATAATTGTATTCCTCCCTGATTGTGATAGCTATCAAGCAAGAAATTTACTACAAGATTAACAGGGACACAGTAATGAAAAAACACGGGCAGCATCCTGTAATTGACTGTTATTAAAGTGTGTCACAGTGGCCGGTAATAAACTCCCTAGCTGCAGTGTTCTAGAGAAACCAAAGCCAGAACTTTTGCCTACTTTTTCAGTTGTAAAGTTGGGATATGGAGATTCCCCAGCCCCCAATCCAGTGCTCACTTACTGAGCACACGGTCAACAGAAGCCTAAATGGGGGCGGGGGTGGGGGACAGACACTGCATGTACAACGTATGATTGAAGTTGTAGGTGGCTTTCCAAAGTGAGAGAAGTTGGGGTTTACTTGGGTTGGGGTACTCTAAGATAGCGATGAAATTATCACGGATCATTTTTTTATTTCTGACTKGTACCAAATGAGCCCACGTGCAAARGAAACGGCAGATAAGAAACTGGGCCAGTGAGTCCTCTCCTGCCACTGGGGTAGCGATGGCGGCCTTTCCATTCATATTTTAATGAGGCTAGTATCTCCGAGGCGTCCAGGGAGGGCGGAGGCAAGGTTCCCGGAGGTTACAATAGGAGTCGCTTTATTGACAAGTACCATTCAAAATCTTCGCAGCACAGAGAGAAAGACTCAGTCTCACCCCTCTTKTCCCTGTCCTTCCTGTGCTCTCAGAATCGAAACGATCCAAGGGGAAAGAGGCTCACTAAGGACAGCCTTTAAATTTACTGAAGGAGGTTCTGCTAAGTAGAATCATGGAAAACTCTATTCATGTACATTTAAACACTTGTATGAAGATCCACAATGATGAGCATTTTTTTCTTAAATATTTTCTGGGGGAAGAAAGCTGATGCTTTGGTATTTTAAGAGCGAAATATTTTTAATATTCAGTAAAGCGACCTCTGCTAGTGTCAGGTTGGATGTGCTCCCTTTCCTGCTCACAGGACTCGGCAACATGGAGTCTTTTGAGCTAGCTGCCAGCAACCATTTCCTGCTTTTAAAGGATCTGTACTTGGCAGGGCCATCAGCCTCCCTGGACTTGGAGCATTATAGAAATCCACTATGATCCCTGGCCATCACATACGTGTGCTGAAATAGGCACAATGTCGCTTGACTCCAGTATATAAAATTATACTTTAAAAATAAGGAAAAACAACCCACTGCGAAGTGGAAAGATTATTTTCAAAAAGTGCAACCCACGACACAAAAGGGCTCTCAAAGACCGGTGGTGGCAGGCCTCTCACACACCAACATCGTGGTTTTGCCCAAAATGTATGGGCTCAACAATTTGGGGGCAGCTCAGAGTGTTAGGTTAGTTTAAAAATCGGGTTCTAGAGTGACCTGTACTCCACAGGCCAGGCCGGGTGTGTGAGGGCCTGTTGGCACCCGGGGTTAGGGGCTGGGCTTCTCACAGGTTCCAGCCCCCAGACGGGTCCCCATCCCCCCAACCATCAAGTCTGTTTGCTTTCCCGTTGGGCGAAGAGGGGGAAGTGGGGGGGAGAGAGAATGGATTTCTTGATTACAGTTAGATTTTTTTAAATCAAAGAGTCCACTCTTCACTTTCAAATAAAATGCTGCTTCTTACACCCAGGAAGTATATATTGGTATGCGTCAGAAAAGGAAGGATACTGGGAACACGTGCGCTGCAGGAAAACCCGCCTACGATCATTCTGACTTGGTGTGATTTAAGAATTCACTTCTGCATTGTGTAACTTTCCCAGTGAAAGATACATGTTTACTCCTTGGTTTCCATCAGTCATAAAGCAGATTTAGATAGGTTTGTGGGCCTACGTATATCTTGTGACAACTTGCAAAGTTCRAAGGGCATGGTAAAGGCGTGAGTAAAATACCGGCATGCACCAGTTTTTGACCGCAGAGATGTTTAACAATTAAGGCAGTTAGGAGTTAAAAACTTGGTATTTGAATGAGAACCAGGGGCTGCGGCGGCGTGTCCCAGCACAACCAACTCTTGGACTGCAAACGAGGACGCACGGGCCTGCGAGCAGCTCGCCTCCCGCCGCCGGGGACGTTACCTGTGCACGCGAGGTGCAGCTGGTGGGTGGTGGCGGTTTCCTCSTAGGCTCTCCTCTTCCCGTGTTCCTTTCAGAATGTTTGTACAGGGCTGATTCCTTATTGAAACGGGGGCCGACGGTGGCGACACCGGGGTGGTTTATAATCGCCCGGGTCTGCGCCACACCAACCCCCGCGCTTTCATGTTAATTCCGCCGCTCTGGCTGATGAGATTTGCGGCCAGATGGCGGTGAAGCGCGGAGACCCTTTGTGCGCCCCGAGCGCGCCTGTGAATGTCGCGCGGTCGCTGGCACCGGAAGGGTTCACACTGCGTGTGAAAGGGGACAAAGGAGCCTGGATATATCAACACTGCAGAGACCGAGTTCATTTGTGATGCAGCCCCTTTCACCGCGGTTGTCATGCAAACTTCCTACTTTGATCAGCGGAGGGTGGAGAGGGAGAAAGCCCGCAAAGCCGCGGGCCGGGCGCGGGCCGGGCGCCCTTGGCGGCTCCACGCCCCCTTCCGGAAGGAGCCGCGGGGACGCAGCCTCCTGCACCTTGACCTGTCTAGACGGCCCGAAGGGTTTTGTCTCGGTTACCAAGGGCGCGGGGTGCTCTTTGACCCACGCCCAGGGCGGAGGTGGCGGCCAGAGGGCCCCGGGACCCTCGCCGCACCCCGAGGGAGAGGGGCGCCAGAGTTCCCAGCCCGCGCACCCCGCGCACCCCGAGCACCCAGCGGGCTGCAGCCGAGCGCGCTGACGCGGAGCGCGAAACTTCTGGTTTCCTCTGCGAGCGGGTGCAGAGTTCCCGGGCAGGAGCGCATCTCTCTCTCTCTCTCTCTCTCTCTCTCTCTCTCTCTCTCTCTCTCTCTCTCTCCCTCCCTCCCCCACCACACTCCCTCTCTCTCTCTAGATAGATAGATAAACAACTGTCTTCTGTGCTTCAAGCTTTTTTTCTGCATGTTCAATGACTTTTTTTTTTTTTTAGGAATTATATGCGTAGGTATAGTTTCCATATCTTTTTTTTTTCTGTCCTCTTTTGAGTATACTTTTCCCTACTAAAATTTAAGCTGACCTTAAATTATGTAAATAACGGAGCTGAGACGCTGTGTTCAGACGTGGACGCTTTGCAGCAGCGGGGTCGTGCATTCCCGCACGCCCGCTGGACCATCCTCACTTGGGTCAGCGTGAAGGGAGTGACCTGCACGCCGGCTTCTCTTCACAGGTCCCCCTGGCCCAGTCCGAGGCATTCCTGACCGACCTTCTGGATACAGTGTGTGAGCGAATGAACCATTACCAGCTAGAGGAAGACCCGGTCACTAAGAAGAAAACTTTCAAGAGATACGCGCCAAGGAAAGGAGACAAAATATACAAAGAATATAAAAAGTTCTATTTTTATTCTGATGCCTACAGACCTTTGAAATTTGCGGTAAGCTCTCTTTTTTAAGAAGAATTATTTAATGCGTGAACCTGTTTTTGGTACTTTTTTTTTTTTTTTGTCTTTCCCACTCTTTAGCTATGGCTGAGTTTCAAGACACTGAACAGTAAGGTACACATTGAAACGTCACCCTGCCACACTTGGTGTCCTGCTCCAAGAAGTGTTAAGTGTGCACTCCCCAACTTGCCTTTCACCGGAGGGCTTGTGGTCTCTGGTAGTCAGTGGACAGACTGAGTGATATCAGCTGCTGTCCCCCAACCCCTGAGACTGTAAGACAGTTTGCAGTGTTTGCTCAGGACCACTCTGCTGTGTAGGGGGACCTCAGCCTGCCCTGTTGCCAAGGGAGGTCTCACAGATGAGCACATAAGGAATCGGGAGCTGTGGGTTCTAGGTTAAAATCCAAATGAAAACAAATATTGTTTTCAAATATTTTATAGCCACGTGATAAAGGAGAGTGATGTAATCATCCCCCACCCAAGGCTTCAACGAAGAGTTATTTTCCTGAGGTAGCACAAGTATTCCAGCACAAACTGAGTTAAATAAAAGCTTAGGTATGATGTTTGGCATAATGCCAAATTTCCTTCCAGTATAATATTTATTTTACATAAATGCTGGCCTGTCTTGCAAGAATGTGCCTGGAAAAATATATGGCAGTATATTTCCCTTTACTTAATACGGTTGAATCCCACAGTGATGGGCAAGCCTGCTTGAAAAAATGTATTAAGTTTACACATTGGCCAAAATGTCAGGCTCGCCGAAACCCTGAAGTGAGGGAAGTAGCTGACATTTGGAGATTTCATTTTAATTAAAAGATGAGGACAATAATTCAGAGTTAAGCATATTGTGGAATAGGAATGGCAGTGTTACTGGGGTATTTCACAGGTTCTTAATAAACACATTATGGTGAAATTTAAATATTTTAACTGCTGTTTAAAAATTTTAGAAACTTGTTTAGTGAACTCCGAAAATGATTTCCAAGACTACTGAATGCCCTTCAATAATGTCACCATTCCTAAAATTGTCACCTGGTCATTCTTTAATGAAGAAACATACCTCAGTAGAAATTTAAGATTTTCAGATGCAGGGCAAATTTGAGCTCCTTCTTCTCTGAAATGTCATTTTTTTCTTCTCTCTCTTTCTCTCTCTCCCTTCCTTCATTTCTTTCTGGAACCCTAAATGAGATTTCAGGTGGATCTATAAATGCTCTAAAAAGACCCTCCCCTCAGTAAAGCCAGCAGGTTCTCCAAAGTGAAACCGAAGAAGTGTTTGTTCTGATGGCTGAGAAACCGTCATAGTTTCTACACTTTCAAACCACAAAATGGTTTATCATATTGAATTGGAAGGAAACTGGTTTCACCATTTCAAGGAGTTGTGTTCTTTAAAATGTGTTTAAAAATAGAATTCCCAGATCTCAGTGCCTTAGCTAGGAAGCCCACTTCTTCCTATGCCTGACCTTCTGACTTTAGGAAGAGAAATAAATAGGAAGAAGYTGTTTCCTTCTTCAAGTCCCATGTCTTTCAGCACCACTAATCATTTAGTTAAGTCCCAGGAAAATGATGCCATTAACGTTCTGGGAAGAGGGCTAATCCAACGCAATGATGTATTAAACGCCAGGACCAAGAGAAGGGGCCCACCTTGGCCACAGCTTTCTTGTGTGTCGCTAATACTGTGGAGCTGAGCCCTTCCTGGGCAGCAGCCCCGCCAGTGTGTGTACACATGTGCTGTTATTATGTTTCTGCAGTGCGAAAGCATAATAGAAGAGTAYGAAGATGAAATACTCTCACTTATCGCCCAGGAGGCACACTCTCTAGCTGACAAGCTGTGCAGCGAGGAATCAGGTACTGTGTCTGATGGAACATGTGTGCGCAGCCGCTCACCCCGCTCGACAAACGTCTTGTTTGTAGACTGAGCCTCGCTGCCTCCCTGTGAGCCGGGCTCTGACGTGGGCTTCTGGGGTCTCCCGCTGCATCAGACACCCGGGAGGGAAACGCGTCCCTGGAAACCACCGGGCTGTGCCGCTTTCCTCGTCCTCCCTCCCCTGCGTTCAAAGGAAGGCAAACCCTGGATTTCCAGTGGTTACCAGGAAGCCCATTCAGACTTAGATGTCTGGCTTCAAAGCACTTGGTTAAAAAAAATTAAAAATTGGATTTTCCATCCTGTCTCTGGAAAGGAGAATCTCTTTGTGACTGAAGTATTTGCTTCAGCAGAAGTTGGGATTTCTTATTTTGTAGGAAAAATTTTATTAAAGTTTTTGTTTGTTGGGGGGCTGGATTTTTTTTTTCAGATTCCTTTTCCAGAGTTATCTTCATCTTAAAAGTGTTTTTCTGGATCAGAGGGTGACAAATAATAAGCCTCGTGTTCTTAGACATCACCCCAACACTCTCCTCTAGTCAGAAGCTGGAGGAGAGGGAGCAGATGGCCATTTGCTGTGTACCAAGGCGAAGCCGTTGCCCCTGGCCCTGTCATAGGTGGCTGGCCACTCACCCGGTCAGATCACTTTGACATTTGTCTAACACGGTCCAGGGCTGTGGTTCAAGTTGTGCGTTCTTTTCAGATATCTTTGGGAAGGAAATGAATGGTCATATAGGAAGACAGCAATTTAAAACCAGTGGAGTGCTTCCTAAGACGTGGGAGCAAGCCTAACATACACGTGTCCATTCTATCAAGTTTAGGGCCAGTTCTTAAAATGATCGTTACTGCACCTTTGGAGATAAATATTGCTGTTGTCAGAAGTTACTAGGCAAGGTCACAAATCCTCTACTAACAACATGAAAGTTTCCTTACTAAGTAGACAATTCGGTTGTCTTCTGTTTAAAAGTCCAGTTTCAGTACAAGTTTGCAGATGAATGCAGTGAAATGACATGGTGATTCTTCAGCAATCTGAGTTTCCTCATTGACATTAGATATTTAATGTGCGGTGTAGGAACTTCACATAAGTCCATAGCCTGCCTTCCCAGAGAAAGTTTCTTTCAAGATTCTCAGACAATCCAGCCACACAGGTTTGCACTAAGATGCCAGCACAGATGGGGTGAGGAGTGCTCAAAATTCTTGTTTTCCTGTTGCCCCTCTGAAGGGTCTGGACTTACCAGAATTGTCTGCAAGTAATCTCCCCCACCCCCACCCCGCCCATGAAGTCCTACTCAGACCTTCCAGGGAGTCTGGAGAGTGTCCCCTCTGTCTACTGCAGTTGTCCCCCCGCAAGTCCACATTCTGGGGAAAACAGTGGTCCCAAGTGCAGCAGCTGGACTTGGTTTCAATAACATTAACAATCTCTCTTTGTTCCTTCTACATAATTTTAATTGRAAATCAAAATTAATATCAACCTTAAAAAAAGCAGAAGCTTATAGAATAAACCTAAGCTATATACAGTATTGCTAGTGTGAGATAAAACACCAGATAATTCTTAGTTTGCATTTGTTTTTTATAAAGCCACTTCCTCCTACAAGCGGGAGTATTGAGAGGAAGAAGTGCCACTCAGCAGTGGGAGCCTCCCAGCACTGCTGGTGAGGCGGAGAGGGGCCTTTCAGGCCATGTCCCCGTGAAGTGCTCTGTCAGTGTTGAAAACCATCCCTAAGTTAAAAATGGAGGATGTCCTCACCTTAAAAGCAGACTAGAAACCTACTGCCGATGTAAATACCACAAGTGCAAGGTGGAGAGTGTTTTCAGACRTGAACCTTCTCACAGGAAAAATTAAAGGCACACCCCAATGATACAAATTCCAAGGAAGGACACGGTGGCAACAGAGAAGTGAGTCCTGTCAACTCACTGGGGTGGCTTCCTGACTGTRTGAAGGGTGAGGCTTCCCATCACAGAACTCCAGGTGCACTGGCCCCTCACCTGCAGTACAGGTGCAGTGAGTCTCCCCCGAGCAGGCTGAACCTGCTGTTTAGGAAAGGGAAAGCCGCCTCTGGTTTCCTCTGCCACAGCTTCACCATGCCGTGCTCCCCGTGGCTGGAGTGGCATTTTAAAGAGGTGAATGTGTGTGTTGGAAGTCATAGAAACTGCATTAACAAATAACTCTTTACTGAGCCTGTACTACATGCCAGACACTATACCCAGAGTGGGTAAAATGCTCCCTTGCTGTTTTTAGGGAGATCAGTAATTATTAGAAAATAGATGCTTCTAAAACTCAAGAGTTGATGGAAGTTTACTGTCTGATTTAATAGGCACTTTGCATATCTGTGAATTCTGCCTTTTTCAATTTACTGTAGATTGTTTAACTTCTCTTGTTAAGAGTTCTACGTGAGCAGATGGGGCCACATCCACAGATTCTCCAAATGTTAAGGTCTGAACATTCACCGCCCCCAACACAAAAATAAATGGGGAAGAATGGAGAAAATAGGTGTCTAATCTAAGGTGGCCAYGTTTGAATGAAGACACAGCAAACAGTGAGATTTCATAAATACGTGTGTCAGCTTTGATGATAAGACGGGTCTCAGAGAAGGCTGCAGATTGCATGGCCCATGCATGCCCCTGCAGTTAGGACTGGGTAGAACGTGGGTTGCCGAACGCGTGCTGCTCTTGGGGTGAGAGTAACAGGGGTTCTCCCTCACAGTCTCTCTTTTTTTCTAGGCAAAATTAAAAGTAAGTTCACTAGATTTTCTGGGTGGAATGTTCCATGGCATTTAACCCAGGCTTCACCAGATGGTCATTTTGATGTCTTGAAGTGGAAATGATTCAAATCTTAATATGATCTAGGGTGCAATTTAAAGTACAACTGCATCCACTGGAGGTGGAAAGCAGACTGCTACAGAGCCCGTGTGGCTGGTTCCTCTTAGGTCTATGCAGGTATTTGTCAGACAGACTGTGTGGAGAGTTGAAAGAGAAATGCATAAATATATTCTGAATATATTACTTCTACTTTGAGAGCAAATCTTAAACACTGAAAAATATAACAACTGTAGAATTCGCCACATGCCCATCTTTAATGTAATATATGAAATAAGATATCAGGAATGTAGAGCTGTTTAGCKTACAATTAACTTAAAAGTATTCTCACTTTGTTGTCTAGTCTTCCTAACCTAAATGGCAAGACCTTAAAATATAAAATATAAAATAATTACCTTTAAAGGCTAGCACATTTCCAACAAACTCTGTGGCTAACAGAATCCATAGTCTTTCTTTTTTCAAAAAATTTTTTATTTGCTCTTTTTAGTTATACATGACAATAGGATGTATTTTGACATATCACACATACATAGAATATAACTTCCCATTCTTGTGGTTGTATACATGATGTGGAGTTACACTGGTCATGTCTTCACATATGAACATAGAATCCATAGCCTTTTTAAATGGAATCGGCATTAATCGCTTTCAATTGGAAAAGCAGTAGGAATCACAATACCTAACTGGCTCTCGTATTACATGCCCAGGGCACTGCGGCCCTTCCCAGCTGTGGACACTGTCTAAGTGGTCTTCTTTAAACACTCCCTTGCTCCTGGGTGAGTTGCACAATCCCTGGCCTTGCTTTAGAATACTCCAGCCAAGACAGATGGGAAGACGAGCGGAGCACAGCACCCATCGGCCACTGTGGAAGCCGGGCTTGGGGTGTGGGGAATAGATTACCCTCTACTTTTGTGCACAGAAGCAAAATTAAAAGTCATTTCAGTAGATTTTTCTGGGTGGAATGTTCTGTGGCATTCTCACAATAAAAGTTCAAAAATGCACTCCCACCATCATGTACTGTTTGTGGGATGTAAATGACTAAATTGCTGGTATCTAATTGATAGTGATGGTTTCTAATTATTTTTTCAGGTATTTGTGGAACTTCTGCTAATCATACAGAACTCTAGGCATGACATCACCACTGGTAGAGAAGAGCAGAGTCCCAGTCAAAGGTCAATGTCTGCGTTGTGTCTGCATGTCTCTCGTGCTGAGAAGTTTCGTTTTGTTCATACCGTGCTTGATTTTGCTTTGAAAATCTGTTGTTTGGCATCATGACAAACCCAAGTCTTCTTGTAGGTGAAGCTGAGGACTTCAGAAAACCTCAATTCCTTGCAGATCTGCATGCAACAACCTTGGCAATAAAGCATTAGATCTGGCTATGGGAAAGAACTGAGGCCACTTCATAAACTAAAAAGGGATTTAATGATCTCTACTGTCATTTCTAGTAAATGCATGCACACATAGACAGGCACAGTATGCTATTTGGTAAGAACTTGGTTTCTCAAATACTTGATTGGCAACAAATTTAGGGAAACCTATTGCAAACTTACTTAAAATTTGGTATTCTGGAGGGTTCTATATGGTGTTCAAAGGAACAAACCCACTTTTATCAGGAATGAAATTTTAATGTCTAGAAATATATTTTAAAAYGTTGGCTCTAAAATTTAATGGAATGCAAAAAATGTATACTTTTTATAGTGAATGGTTATTACATTGGTCTCTGTTGACCATGTATTCTGAGTCCAAATGGCTTGAAAAGTACATATATGATGACATCGGGTATTTAAAGATGGTGCAGTGACCATGCCTCGTGCTGTGGACTCTCCCAGGCTTCATTCCTAAGGCTTTTCTGCTAACATTCAGAGTGTGGCTTTTACTACTGAACATCCTACCATTCTCCTACCAGGGATTCTTTTGTTTGGAGGTGTGGAGATGGAAGGGGTGGTGGGATGTGGTGGGAAATTACCTTTGATTGAATTTGATATAACACAAAAAATGTAATGTTCTTGGGTATTTTGTTGTTCCTGTTAAATTTACTTTCACTGGAATCCAACTTTATTCTGCCTGTTAGGGTATAGTCTACACCTATTTTAGTCAATAAATCCTCATTGTTGTCAGTGAGAATTGAGTGGGCAGCATGATGCAAATTCTGTACCAAGAAGGTGGAAACTGTATCTCCACGTTCTTACATAGTTCCCTAGAAAGTACCCTGCTCACACTTCAACCAGCTCTTCAGCAGGAAACAATGCTTCAATTTAGGAGAATTTACCAAAACGAGGAGAAGAGTTTTCCATTTTCTCGCCCATCTCCAGTCTTATTAAAAGGCAGATTCTTAGGTTRCTGTGACTCGTTTATCTGGGATCCGAGGAAGTGGGTGCTGCCTTGCTGAGCCTGCCCGTGGAGTCTGCACAGCCCACGTAACCACGGACCTGCTCTCTGCCGGCTCGCAGTGGAACCGAGTTTAAGAGCAGCTGCTCGCACCATCTCTCAGCAAGGTGTAAGAAGCTGTGGTTCAAAACAGTCTGTCCCATTCMGAAGCCTACCTCTGAGGTTAATGAGGCTTCTGAAGCAGGGAGTTGCAGCCCTGGCCTACGTGGTTCTCTGGGTGTGTGCACTGAACAGAAGGTGATCTCTTACATACAAGGGTCTTCATGGGAGCAGGCTGGTGACGGCAGTTAAGTTAGCCTTGGTGAAACAGGTGACATTGTAATTGCAGAAGTGCCACAGCCCTGGCTTCCACCCTCAGTAATCACTAAGAGTTCTCAAATATGGGAGTTAAGAAAGGGCAGGCTCCTGCTCCAGCTCGACACTGTGGTCAGCTCTTCCTCCCCAGGGGCTGTTCCAATGATGCTGATGCTTTGAGCAGAGAGAACAGGGGAGCCTCGACTCTAACAAATAGCCAAGTTTCGCCAAATATGGCTTTCCAGATTTTTTTCTTGGACTTCCAGTAAAACAGTCTTGTAGCCTACAATATTGTTGATATCTGGTGACCTGCATATTTTTTCTTTCCAGACGCTTTTTCCAATGCAGGTCTAACCTGCATTGCTGGTTAGACTCAGTGATAGCACCCACAGCGCTGCACTCCCTACGTGCGCAGGACTCTCTGGGTCCTCTGGGTGCTGGGAGGCTGTGCTGCTTTTGCTGATGAGCGAGACTGGCTGTTCTCCCTAGCACCCTCCTAACCACATTCCTGCCTTTTAAGTGACAAAGTAAATTAAAAAGCCAGGGTGGATGAAAACCCCAAAACAAAGAAAGGCAATAACACCTAGGGTGTGAGAGGAGAGTTTCTCAGAACCATGGGAACAAACCTAAAAAAAAAAAAAAAAAAAAAAAAAGGAGAGAGAAAAAGAGAAAAGAAAGAAAAAACAAAAAGAATCCCTGGAGAAGCAAGAAGCACATTGCTGGAGGCTCTTATGAAGACAGTGAGAGGAGGAGGCATGTTTGGGCCAGTGGCTTCAAGTGGGGCTTCCCAGGGATGGTTTGCTTGGGTCTCAGTGAAGASTCCCGTGGACCTGTCCTCAATGGCCACAGCGCAGAGGGAGGCAGCACACCTTTGYGTACCACTAGTCGATGGGAATCAACAGAGACCAGCCAGTCCATGTCCCTAAGGAGTGGACGTGGACTCAAGTCCACACCTCAAATAGGAAGGAGCAATGCTTTATTTACGAAGATAAGCCCTGAAAAACAGAGAGCATCAGTCACTAGCTGCCTGTAACTTTATACCTGTTTCTCAGCTTAGGTTGATGTTTAGTCACATGTGTAATAGCTTTACCTAAATAGAAAAGTTCAAACTACATCTCACTCTTAAAATTCAGAATTTAATGAGATATGAGGAGAAATCATTCTTTGGTGTGATTCTGTGGTCTGGTTTTAAAGTTCACACAGTTCTGTGAGCTGATCTCGAATGTGTGGAAGCTCACTCGATAGATACTGCCTAGTTTGGTACCAAGAAGCCTGAACATCGACACTAGGTCCCCACGGGACAGATGCACCTGTTAGATACAGTGAGTTTTTGCTGATTCTCCACCTACACTTCAATTCCCCTTTATAAGGTCCTTTTCTCTTCTTCTGTACTGGTGATGGAACCCAGGGATGCTCTGCCATCGAGCTACACCCCAGTCCTTTTTATTTTGACAAGGTCTCCCTAAGTTGCTGAGGCTGGCCTTGAACTTGCAATCCTCCTGCCTTAGCCTCTGGAGTTGCCAGGATTACAGGTGTGGGCCKCTGTGCTTGGCTCCCTTAATAAGTTTCTTACAATCCTCAGGTTATTTGCTTTTAAGAGCAAAGAACCAAGTGGATAAAAAGATCAAACTCCATAAATGAGATTTAAATATGGAAATCATAGAAGTTATTTGTCCTTAAGTCCTCCAGGAAAGAATCAGTACATTGTATTGTTCTCTCCCAGAGCTGTGCTGGTGGCCCCTCCCTGCCCCTGCACTTGCTGAGGAGGAAAGGACCACTCTGTCGTCCATTCTCTTGATTTGAGCAAAGGAGATGTGGATCGCACTTGATACGGAACTGGCTCATTCGCCTGCAAGGTCATGGCCAGAAGAGTGGGTTTTTGTGCAGAAGGCTGTGAACATGGAGTCTGAGACGCAGGCAGCCCTGACCTTTTGGGTCCTCCAGGAAAGTCCAGAAATGGATGGTGGATGGACGGTGGGTGGACAGAAGCCTAGATACCCTGGCCTACAGATACACACACACCTAGGTCAAGGAAATCCCGGCCAAGGAAGCCAGCCAGGCTCTGAAGCCTGAGGCTGGAGACTTGAGAGAAAGGTGCTTGGACAGTTCTTCACTTCCTTACAGAAAACACCTCATTCCTGCACTAAAGGGAAAAATCTGCCCTCTAAATTGCAGTAGAAATAAAAAACATTCTACCCCACAACAGCAAGATATTTGCAAACAGTCTATTAGGAATTTTCTGGAAAGCAAAAATGCTCCCAGTCTACAGTGAAAGTGCAGCAGCACCTTATCGTACGTGTTGTCATCGTAGAGCAGGGACTTCCAGGACCCGGGCAGACAAGCTGTATCCCCAAACGCAAGAGCACAAAGCCAGAGCCCAAACAATGGACAGACAATTAAATAGGCCCCGGGTGGGGAGGCCTGTGTCCAGGCTTGGTCCACCCTTGCTGCACCTCAGGGGCCCACGCAGCCTGCCCCGGGAGCTGTCGGGGTCCTGGGGCTCCCCCGGATGTTAACTCACGGCTGCCAGAGGAAGGCGGGCTCGGCCGCCGAGCCCTGGGTGCTGGTGGAGCAGGCCTGGGGCAGGAAGACCCAGGAGCGACAAGTTACAGGGTGACACCAGGTTCAGCCTGCACCGCCARCAAGGCTGGCACCTGGACTGGCAGCTGGCTCCCGACACCTGACCCCTAGGGAAAGGTTTGCCTGCACCGCGTGGCATGCGTTTTGAACAAGTGGGAATTCCGCCCCCRCTTCAGGCTGTTTGGAAGGGCCAGCAAGGGAAGACCGTAGCCCCYAGGTGACGCCACCAAAGCGGAAAGGGAGGTCTGTAGAAACCATCCTGGTGGCCCAGCCGCCCCTCATCACAGGGCCCCAAAGCACCTCTGGCTTGGAGAGGAGAGCAGAGCCCCAAAGAATGGATGATTCGATCTGTTCTAAAATGGACCCCATTTAAAGCAACACGGTGGAAAGATGGCAGATTCTCCTACAAATGCTGGTCCTGGCAGGTTGGGTTTTAGACCTTCAGGTGGACACAGCCTCACACTGCCTCTAAATGCCACCGAAGCCCTGATGACGTGGTGAGGCCTCAGTGCCCKGCGGCAGGTGGGGGGGATCCTTGTGTCTTTTACGACAGGGGCTGCTCCCGGTGGTGGCAGCCCGGGGCCGACTTTGAGAGCCAAAGCCCCCTGGAAAGCCCCTTGACCCGGGCCCTGGCTGCAGAGCCTAGCGGCTCAGGCTGGCGCGTGGCCCTCCTCTGCTACCCGACCAGGCTGCTCGCGGCCTTCACAGGCACCCACAGCGCTCCTGGAGTCCTGCAGAGGGGCAGCCCTGGCGGGGTAGGCCGGCTGCCACACCCTGAGAGCCACAGGTGACTCCTGGCGGCCTGAGAAGGAACGCATCTGGGTCTGGCCTATGAGAAACGGTTTCCTTCTACCCGAGGAGCGAG